AGTGTAGATTGCTGTATGTAGAAAAAGGCTTTCCACATACATTTAGGCTTTCTTTATGTTTCCTTTCCAAAGATGCGTCAGGGTCACGGCTCGTTGTTCTTTCAGTGGAACTTTATAGAACAATCTTGGATTCGTTCAAAGACTAAATAGTGGTCAAGTGGGCTATAGGAAACTTTGATCGAAAAAAGGGTAAACAAAACTGTAAACATTGTAGACAATGAATTTTAAATGATATTGACAATTTGTAATAACTATAATAATAAATAATAACTGACTTATGACTTGAGTTCTCATTAAGTTATCGTTATCGAAACTCTAGAACCTGTGAGCTAGGTAATGATCAGTCAAGCAAGTCCACAGACAGGTTAAAAGTGAGGTCTGACTGACTTGTCTGACTTGACTTCTAGCCAGTCAGCCTGATCTGACTTTTGCAGTAAAGCCAGACAAGGACATCAATCGAAAAATTGATTTGAACTTGAACTGAACATAAGGACAGTAGAGGGTGACCAAGAATTACCGCAACACTCAAAAGGCCTGGCTTTTAACCAAATATACAACCCATCTCGAAAAGTTAACTTAAATATCTTTATTCAACATATAACAGTAACAAATTAACAATTAAATTCAAATTAGCCTCCATCCGCATTCAGAGAGGCCTGCAAACGTTTGGGAAACGCGTTGACCTCAGCTATTGGGTTGTAAAACCTCAGCTATTGAACTCTAGGCTACTGATGTACGTGACTAATTCAGAAAATTACTTGTTGTTTAGCAAATCAGTCAAGCAAGTCCACAGACAGGTTAAAAGTGAGTGACTGACTTGTCTGACTTGACTTGTCTGACTGGCTTGTCTGACTGACTTGACTGACTGACTTGTCTAACTGGCTTGTCTGACGGGTTTGTCTGACTGACTTGTCTGACTGACTTGTCTGACTTGACTTCTAGCTAGTTAGCCTGATCTGACTAAAGACGTAAAGCCAGCAGACAAGAACATCAATCAGAAATTGCTTTGAACTTGAATTCAACAAAAAGGACAATAAAACCTCAGTTATTGGACTCTACTGATGTACCTGACTAATTCAGAAAATTATTTGTTGTTTTGCAAAAGAAACTGAATATTTTGAAGTAAAAATAAAGAAAAAGAACTCTTTTATAGTTGTTTTATCACTCGAAATGAACAAATCAACTTGTTAATGCCATCACTTTTCAGCAGTTATCAAAATTGATAAAAATGCAAGCCTGTTTTTTTTCGAAAACATTTTTACGCTGTTTTTTTTTAAATTTTGCAAGTGACGTATTACTTTGCTTGTTTTTGGCTTTAAAATTTTGAAAATCACTTTCAAATATCAAAATAACTTATCTACAAATTTTGAGGGTAAATTTTCTGGGTCTTATTGTTTGAAAATAGGTTTTGAGTAAACAAATAAGAGAAGCTTAGAAGCTAGTTATAAGAAGAAAAAAGGGTAGTAGAAAGAGATAAGAATGCGTGATTTACTGATGAAGACAAATTTTGGCATATGGAAAATCGGGATAATGACGGGAAGATTCATTTAAATAGCGGTAAATCTTAAAACTAAAAAATCTTCAATGAGAACCTGGAGTTTTCGAGTAAACAAATAAGAGAAGCTTAGAAGCTAGTTATAAGAAGAAAAAAAGGTAATAGAAAGCGATAAGAATGCGAGATTTACTGATGAAGACAAATTTTAGCATATGGAAAATCGGGGTAATGACGGGAAAATTCACTTAATTAGCTGGAAATCTTAAAACTAAAAAGTCTTCAATGAGAAACTGGAGTTTTTGAGTAAACAAATACGAGAAGTTTAGAAGCTAGTTATAAGAAAAAAAAGGGTAATATTGGGTTGATGGAGAAGTCCTTTCCGATTTTTTGGGAGAGTACCTTAAATTTGCCCAATTTTGACGTTTTATAGCTCATCCTAAAGCTGAATTCAAGACGGATCGATTGGTAAAAATCGTTTTGAGATATCTCTTTTCTAAAAGTTTTTACAGCTATTTTAAGCAATAGAAAGCGATAAGAATGCGAGATTTTACTGATGAAGAGAAATTTGGAAAAATGGAATAGAAAATCGGGGTAATGACGGGAAGATTCATTTAAATAGCTGTAAATCTTAAAACTTTACAATTAAATATAGAGAAATTGAAGCTTTTTTGTCTGTTCTTTAAGTAAAGTTGGATAGACTTGAGTTTAAAAGAATAGAATTTTGTTTAATAAACTATAATAGAAACAAACCAAGTAGATAACTTTAAAGATTATGAAATTGTTTCTTTTGATACAATTAATAAGTTTATCATTTGAAAGTTAGTGGATTACTAATAGCTGTAACTAATTTTAGAGTTATTAACTTTAAAGTTATAAGTTATAAGAAAGAAAAAGGTAATAGAAAGCGATAAGAGTGCTAGATTTACTGATGAAGAGAAATTGGGAAAAATGGAATAGAAAATCGGGGTAATGACGGGAAGATTCATTTAAATAGCTGTAAATCTTAAAACTTTACAATTAAATATAGAGAAATTGAAGCTTTTTTTGTCTGTTCTTTAAGTAAAGTTGGATAGACTTGAGTTTAAAAGAATAGAATTTTGTTTAATAAACTATAATAGAAACAAACCAAGTAGATAACTTTAAAGATTATGAAATTGTTTCTTTTGATACAATTAATAAGTTTATCATTTGAAAGTTAGTGGATTACTAATAAATGTAACTAATTTCAGAGTTATTAACTTTAAAGTATTCTGTAAAATATCAGTAAAAACTTAGAGATAGTTGATAACAGTTAGACTGAAACTTTCAAAGTAAAAGTCTTCGTGACTGAGGAGTTTATAAAGAAAAGAGAAGGAAAAGAGAAGGAAAAAAGAAGGAAGAGAGAAGGAAGAGAGAAAGAAAGAGTCCTATTGAACGTTTGATCTCTGAAAGAGTGGTTAAACTTTGGTATAGAAAAAGAGGATTTATTTTGTAACTCTTTTCATAAAGTTAATGACCACAATTTGATAGGTAAATGATGAAAAGAATTGATTCTTAAGCTTTATGAAATCTTCATTGATTTTACTAAAGTAATTTCTGCCTTGAAATGAATATTTAAAGATTTCTAATGATTAAAGATCTTTAAGAAAATTGAAACCAAATTGTGATTTTTGATAGATCAAAGAGACTTAACCCCTTTTGAAAGAGGGGCGACCAATTGCCTTGTGGTGTAATGGTTAGCACAATGGGTCGGTAACCCGAAGGACCCGGGTTCGACTCCCGGCAGCGCACGATTTTTTTGATTTTCCCTGGTTTGATCAAGGTCAAGCAAAGACTGGAATTAAACTTTATAGTTGAACTTTATAATTAAACTAGTTGAACTAATAGTGAACTGTGAACAAGAATAGTGTGAGATTTTGAATAGAGCACAGAAATGAGCATAATGACATTCTTGTTAAATAAAAACAAGAGAATAATGCCTCTATTATTCTCTTGTTTGAAGGAAAGGTAACCAATTGCCTTGTAGCGTAATGGTTAGCACAGTGGGTCGGTAGCCTGGAGGTCTCGGGTTCGACTCCCGGTAGCGCACAATTTTTTTTGATTTTCCCTAGTTTCCTAGAGTTTGATCAAGGTAAAGACTGGAATTAAACTATAATAGTTGAACTAATAGTGAGCTGTGAACAAGGATAGTGTGAAATTTTGGATAGAGCACAGAAATGAGCATAATGACATTTTTGTTAGCTAAAAACAAGAGAATAATGCCTCTATTATAATTCAAAGAAAAACGTAAAAATTGATTGAAAATTGAGTGAAATGGTAAGTCGTTTTTTGAGAGCTTTAAATGAAAGTCTAATAAAGCCACTGCGAAGTCTAATAAAGCCACTCTCTAAAGCATTCTATCAGAATGAATATTTCAAATTGACCCTACTCTTTGGCACTTTGTTTACTGTCAAAAACTTACACTTTCTCTCTTGAGACTTGAGCAAATTGAAAAAGAAATTCTTTTTTGGTTGGAAAAGCGGACAAACTCAGATCGTTTTGTCTCGAATATTGACTAGAGGAACCGGTCTTTTTGAAGCAAAAGAAAAAAACGATTGAGCTGGCACCAAGAAGGTGGACATTTATTCTGACGTCGAGAGAACGTTGAAATGAAATGAAATATTTCGATTTATCAAATAGTGATTTCAAATAGTGAATCAGTGAATCACTATTTGATATCATTCATTGATATCATTGAAGATTAAATTCAAGTTATTTTGAAAAACTTTTGTAATTGAGTGATAATTTAAGTCAAATTGCCGTAATGATCGAATGATTGGGAGTCTTGTTTCTTAATCGGAAGGTCACGGGTTTAATCCTTGTGGCTAGAAAATTTTGCTCTTTTTTTTCCGAATACATGGGGTTTTTCTTCTCTGCAATATCTTTAAGGCACTTGTGTTTATGTTTGTGTCGCAATATTCATGTTAAATAAATGTATACTTAATGAATAACAAAACTGTGATTGCAAAAAATCGCTTAAAAAGTAAATTGATAAAGTGATAGAGAGAAAAGATATATAAGGGGCCCTCATCGTGTATTGGTTAAGTGCTCACTTCCAAACTGAGGGTGTGGGGTTCGGCCCCCCTAGGGTTCACTTCCCTAGCCCGTGCGCCCAGACTAGAGGTCTCTTCTCTAGAGCTGACTAGAGATCCCTTCTCTAGCGGAGTTCACTCTTCCACTGGGTTGGCCCATTCATGGCCTGAGGTTATTAAAGCAAGAAGCCTATCTTCTATCTATCTTCTTTTCTCCCCGCCTCCACATCGCCGAGTAAAATGTCTCATCTTTCTCTATGTATTTATGTGTAGATTTGTGTATTGTCTGACTGATTACGCTTTATTTCATGTCCTGAATAAAGTATGAATATATATTAGTATCGTTGAAAAGAAATTGAGTAATCGTGAGTAGTCGAGAAGTGAGCAGAAATCAAAGAAATCATTGTTTATTTGATGAAAAGTAAATTACTTTCATAAAGAAAAACCTTAAGCTAAAATTGATAATCTTGAAGTTTAGATTTGGCGATTTTTCCGGATTTTGTCTTTGGTAGCTCGTTACAAAGCACAATGCCGCCTCGAAGTTGTTTGAATGGTGCCACTCGTTCTAAAATCTCTTAGATTTAATTAAAGCCTCAAAAATTCTGGTCTTTTAAAAGCCATTTAACAAAAAAAAAGGTGTAAAAAGCCATCATATCAATTTTTGCTATAAACTCTGCAGTTTGGCTATGTAAAAAGTTCTTGGATATTCTAAAGAATAGAAAAAGAATTGGAAAAAAAGAATAGAAAAGAATAGAAAAAGAAAAAAGAATCTTTTCATATACCGTATTTTCTCTAATAGTAGTGAACTCTGAGCATCGCCTACAATCGCGGACATTAACTTGACCGGAGTACATACGATCGCGGACATTAACTTGACTTTGTAGATATTGTAGAACTTTCAATACACCGTATTTTCTCGAATAGTAATGCACCTTGAGCGTCACCTAAATTCCTCGAAATCTCGAGAACCGCTTATCAGAACCTATCGATGTGTGGTCGGAAAATGTAGCTGACGATGAGATCTTGTGGGGGATTTGAGTGTTGAGCTTCTGGGAAAAATTGAGAAGCCGTAAAATAGTCACCAACTCGGCGGGGTGTACTACTATTAGAGAAAATACGGTAATAGCTTTTCATAATGAAAAGAATCAGATTTCAGAGAAATAAGCCTATTTTCAAAGCTAATCACCTTTCACATAATCTTGTATCTCTTTTGGATCAATAGTCATCCCTTCAGCAGCTATAATAAAAGCTTTAGGAACTTCTCCATATTGAGGATGCTCTGTTCGAACCACAACAGCTTCAGCGATATTTGGATGAGTGAGAAGGACTTCTTCCTAGTATTTTAAACATATTTCCCAAGTTTCATTTACTAAATTAAGATTAAAATCAAAATAATCAATGTCAATAAACTGAATAACCGATTTTAGGCTGTAGCGAGAAAAATCTTTGCTATAGATTCCACTGAAGATTCTATTGTAGATTTCTGCAGCCTTACAAAACTGGTAGAGTACTTTTCGATATAAATTCATTTAGATTCAGTTCTAGAAATGTTTTTATCAAACCAATTGAGCTGGTGCCACTTGTAATCCATTGACTTTAATTAAATCTTTCTTCCGATCAACGATAAAATAGAAATCCCGCAAATCTTTGTATGCAATATCGCCTAAAAAAAAGTTTAAAAACAGATTCGCTTTCATTTTGTTCATTTTGACCTGTTCTCAGCCATCCTTCCTTATCTTTTCCACTTTCTTGTCCTCCTTTGTAACCTTTAAAGACAGCTTCTGATTTCAGAAAGAGCTCTCCCCATTGACCATCTTCTTTCACTTCATTTCCATCATCATCGATCAACTATTATTGATTTAATAAAGAAACCTACCGTAAATACTGTAATAGTACTCCACCCCCATAATGACGGTACGGAGCGTTGCGTAGTCTAGCTTTGAACGCGTTTTTCTCGACACTGGTTTATGCTACAATGGACGCTTAGTTATCAAAAAATAGCTGGAATTCAGGGCTATTTTTTCATACCAAAGACGCTTTTTTTGAAAGTACGGGCGCTTTGAAAAAAATGAAATACTAAAAAACTTCTGCGACTGCGACGAGGAGCGTGGGGTGCTATTACAGTATTTACGGTAGTGCACTTTATGCTCAAAAATCTAAAAACACCTTTTCTGGTGCACCAAAAGAGATTGAGTGCGCCAGAAAGTGTGCATTTTGATCCAACTTTTCCTTGAGATCCCGGCAACAAACGCCCGCAACTTCCCCATTGCTCTGAATCAGCCTCAAGCGGTGTTAAATGAGAGAGTACCACCACTTCACTCATTCCATAACCTAAAGTAGAAAGTTGGAATTGCCTGTGGTAGGGATAAACCTTGTATCAGATGTTTCACTTGTGGAAATTTGTTCATAAAGGCCTCGCTGAGCTCTCTTCCAAGTGGAGCTGATCCGACAAGGACAAGAGAAAGAGATGAGAGGTTGAAGGAGTCAATGGGAAGACGGAGGAGAGCTGAGACGATTGATGGCACAACGTTGATTACATCTACCTGAAATTACACTGAAATTACACCTAAAAGCTTGCTATTTAAAACCAAGGAAACAAGGAAAAGTCTGGTTAAGACCGGGTTTTTCCGGAACGGTCTTTAGTCAGTCGTAGCGCAGTCGGCAGAGCGCGTGTCGATAACCCAGAGGGTCCGGGTTCGACTCCCCTTAGTCCCGCTAGGACTTGATTTTTTTATATTTTCTTTTAAAACAAGAGAACAGATTTCCCACTTTATGCTCCTCAATCGCTTTCATCATGATCAATGGATGAAACTCGTTTTGTATAACAGAATGATGCCCAGCAAGGAGGCAATAGACTAAGGCCCAAAAGCCTGAACCGTGATAGAATGGAAGAAAAGCGAGGGTACAACGTCGACCTTTAGTCAATGAAAGTTTAGAGAATAAAGCTCTAAATTTGAAAATATTTAGAGAACAAAAAAGTTTCCTTAACTCTGAAAGGCTTTTTGTTGCCGAGATATAATTGCGATGAGTTAATTGGACACATTTTGGGAGTCCAGTTGTTCCACTACTGGAAAGTGATTATAAGCTTTTTAAAATTGAATCCTTTACCTGAACGGTTCAATCAAAACATCATCAAGACTCGCAGAGTTTTCAATTTCTGATGGATTACTGGATGCTTCGTTAACGATTGACAAAAACTCATTGATATTGAGAATCTAAAAATGATTTATTGATTTCAAATGTTTTGCCAAAAAGGGAGTGGGATAAATGCGACCTTTTTTTAGCGCACTTGGACATTTGCGCACCTTTTTTTTGCTGAAAAAGGTCGTAGAGCTTCAAAAATGTTTTCATAGAAGGGAATCGTATGCGTAGATTCCGAATTTCGACAAATCAGACCTCGCTGACACGTCAAATTTGGGCTAAAAGGCAAAAACTACGCAACTTAACGCTTTTCCGCAGCTTTTGCCTTTTAGCCCAAATTTGACGTGTCAGCGAGGTGTGATTTGTCGAAATTCGGAATCTACGCATATGATTCCCTCCTATGAAAACATTTTTGAAGCTCTACGACCTTTCCTAAGGCCTTTTCCAGGAAAAAAAAGGTGCGCAAATGTCCAGGTGCGCAAAAAAAGGGTCGCATTTGTCCCACCCCTGCCAAAAACCTTAATCTCTCCTGTTTCTTGAAAGTATTCTACATTTTCTTCAACAATTACTAATTTCGAGTTAGCTTCTTTGCAAAGGTGATCGATTTCATCTAAACTTTAAGTTTATATTTGGCTTTGTCTAACAACATTTTCAAGTTCCAGGGAAAATTTTACTACTTTGTATTCATTTTTAAGTACAAAGTATTTCTACAATCCATGTTTTCTAAAAGAAATTGAATCCATAGCAGACGGCAAAGTTTAACAAGAGTTAGTTGAATAAAAACACATAACATTTATAAGTTAAATTGTTCTACATGTGCTCCAGATATGCAATTCTTTGCTCAATCTCTTGTCATATCCCATCATTTTATCGCCTTTTCTTTTCTTTCTAAAGCGTAAACCACGCTTTAGAAACAAAAGTCGTTTGCTAGAATGTATTTGTGTCTTGTCTTGTCTTGCCTTGTCGATTATATTGCCGTATCAATTGTCTTGCCTTATCTTGTCAATGGTCTTGTCTAGTCAATTGTATAGCCTGGCCAATTGTCTTGTCTTGTATAGCCTTGCCAATGGTCTTGTCTTGTCAATTGTATTGTCTTGTCAATTGTCTTGGCTTGTCTTGTCAATTGTCTTGTCTTGTATAGCCTTGCCAATTGTCTTGCCTTGTCTCGTCAATCGTCTTGTCAATTGTCTTGTCTTGTCTTGTCAATTATGAATCGATTACCTCTTGTCAATTGCGGACTTGCCCCTGAAATGGTCGCTCCAAGCAAAGCCGCTCCGAGAAAAACAAGAGGATATTCGTTTCGATTCGAGAAAACGATAAGAACATTGTCTCCGCGTTTTATCCCAAAAACCCTCAACGCGTTCGCATATCGATTCGATAATGGACGAAGATCTGTGTAATGAATACAACCGTTTACATCAGATAACGCTTTATCGTTTCCATAAAGAACAGAATTGTTTAAGATTTGCAAATGAAATGGAATTTCGTCTGCGATTTCTGGGAGAGACATTGCGAATGTGATTGGGAAATTTGACAGTACAAAGACAAAGAAGATTTGAGAATGAAGTATTTTCCTTTTTATAGGCAAATCAAATTGGCTTCGATTTTCGTTCTAGATCTCGCAATTTTCTTCTTCAATTTTCTGATCAAAAATCTGAAGAAATGTTTGTTGAAGAGAATTTAAAAAGATGAAAACTTTAAGAACAGTTTTCTTCAACAATTCTAGGGTTGACTTGACTTGATCAGTTAGTGATTAGACTCAAAGTAAGGATTAGACTCAAAGTAAGGATTAGATTCAAACTCAAAGACTCATTGATTAGACTTAAGGTGAAGATTAGACTCAAAGACTTAATGATTAGACTAAAAGTAAGGATTCGACTCAAACTCAAAGACTCAATGATTAGACTCAAAGTGAGATTTGTCTCCTTGCTGTTCATCATTCTGTTATACAAAACGAGTTTCACCCATTGATCATGATGAAAGCGATTGAGGAGCACAAAGTGAAGATTCTCATTCCTTTAATTTACAATAAAGATTTATCATTTAGAGTTTAGACAAAAAAAATTGACCTGACACAAAAGATTTGGCAACTGAACTGTTTAAGGCTTTGGTTTTAGACTGGAAAGCACTGTCAAGCAAGGCCATTTTGCGGCCGCGCACTAAAATCCACTAAATACCGTAATCCGCAAAAAGCCTAGTTGCGCTCAAAGCCTAGTTGCGCTCAAAGCCTAGTTGCGCTCAAAGCCTAGTTGCGCTCAAAGCCTAGTTGCGCTCAAAGTTGCGCTCAAAGCCTAGTTGCGCTCAAAGTTGCGCTCAAAGCCTAGTTGCGCTCAAAGCCTAGTTGCGCTCAAAGCCCAGTTGCGCTCAAAGCCTAGTTGGCTCAAAGCCTAGTTGCGCTCAAAGCCTAGTTGGCTCAAAGCCTAGTTGCGCTCAAAGCCTAGTTGCGCTCAAAGCCTAGTTGCGCTCAAAGCCTAGTTGCGCTCAAAGCCTAGTTGCGCTCAAAGCCTAGTTGCGCTCAAAGCCTAGTTGCGCTCAAAGCCTAGTTGCGCTCAAAGCCTAGTTGCGCTCAAAGCCTAGTTACGCAAATGACCCTGTTGTGCAAATAAAATGGCGAAAATTAGCCAATATTTTCTCATTTTTGCTAAAAGTACGGTAATTTTTTCCGAAGTGTGCGTTTTAAAAAGCATTACTCGCGAGGAACACACTCTAATAAACACCGACACAGATTACTTTATTGTAAGTCTGTATAAATACTTAATATTGTACACTCTGCGTTTTAGAATCAAAGCAAAATCAAAAATTCGCACCTCTAACAATTTGCGGAGCAATTGTTTAGCAAAAAAAGGGGGAAAAGAAAAGAAACTGGGTAACTGTGTACACTCGTTTTTAATCCCAACCACCAACACTTCATCTAGTCTCTTTTTTTCCCCGCCTCAATAGTGAGGGTTTCGATTTCAAATGGAGGAGACTAGACGCAAGACTGAGACCCGTCACGCTATCCCCCTTCCAATTCCACCGCCAATTCCCCTATTTGCTCTCGCTTCATCATTTTTCTCCTCCTCTCTTTCCAGCAAATAGGGTGATTTTTTGACACACACAAAGTCTTAGCTGAGCAAAAAAAAACCTCCCCGCCAACCACTGCAAAACACCACCTCCGCTAGATGGCTTTTGTTTTAGGCAATCGTTTTTTAGCTTTAATTTCATTTGATTTTCAGCTTTTTTTTCAGCTTAATGGGCTATATTCAGAATTTTTCAATAAATTTCTATTAGAGCTTAGAGTTAAGTGCCTATCATTCTTATTAAGATCAAAATATAGCTTTGCTTTGCTTAAAGACTCTAGAATTGTTCCAGTAGATGGCTTTTGTTTTGAGCAATCCTTTTTTAGCTTTAATTTCATTTGATTTTCAGCTTTCTTTAGCTTAATCTAGCTATATTCAGAATTTTTTGAACTTAATCTTCAATAAATTTCTATTTGAGCTTAGAGTTAAGTGCCTATCATTCTTATTAAGATCAAAATCTAGCTTTGCTTTGCTTAAAGCCTCTAGAATTCTGCTTAAACATGAAAGCTTGCTTAGAGAACTTTAACTCCATTCTTTACTTCATCTTAAGCTATTATTGAAGTTAGAGTTGTTAACTAAAGTTGTGAAGTTACAAGTTTGTTCGTTATAAGTTAAGTTATAAGTTTGTTTTAGTTGTTAAGACTTAAAAATGAATTGTTAAACGTTTAACAAATCATACATATGGTTTTATTCATTTTGGAATTGTTTATTGAAGTTCAACGCTACTCTATGCACTTCTAAAATAGAGCTAGTAATGGAAATTGGTGGCAAGCTGTTCAATGATTCTTGTGGATAGATTTGGGTACCTTGTCTTTACCCGAAAACCTCAATAACAATAATTCTTTCGCCAGCTGGGCACTTGTGTTCGAAGGGTTGAGAGGAAAGGGATGGGGAAAGGGATGGGCATTGTAAAAGTGATGGGGAGGAGTGTCTTCCGCTTTCCAAATGGTGCCAGCCTGCCTTTTGCGCATCAACACACCTTAATCTACCTTTTTGTGATTTCTTTTTGATAGAAATGAAGATTTTCGAAGTAATTTCTTTGGCTAATAAGAATCTAGGAATTCTTTATCTCTTTATCCACTAGATAATAGAGTTATAGCTATCTTTCCTAGCTTCCTTAGCCAATACTTGCCCAGGAAAGGCTTTACCTCACTTTACTCCTTTTTTCCTTTTTCAAAGTCTTAAAATCTAATACAGTTGTTTAAAATAAAAATTTAAAAAGTGAAGATGGAGCGACCGGGGGTCGAACCCGGATCATGAGGGTGGTAGCCAAGGACACTCCGACTGCGCCACGGCGAGGATAGGGGACGAGCTAGAAAAATCCGTTTTAACCTTTGGGCTGGTTGTTTATGTCTGCCTGACCTATTCAGTGGTATTTCTTGACTTTAAAAACTTTTAACTTATCTAATTTCACTCTTTTAAGTTAAAGCTAACTTTATGAATGTAAAATTTGTGATCTTAATAATCAGAAGATTTCCAAATCACTCCAGAAACATAAGTTTAACCAGCTTAAGATTGAAAACTTACTCATCTTTAGAGTGTTCCTAGCTTCTTTAGCCAATACTTACCCAGGAAACGTTTTACCTCACTTTACTCCTTTTCATCTTTTTAAAAAGTCTTAAAATCTAATATAGTTGTTTAAAATAAAAATTCAAAATGGAGCGACTGGGGGTCGAACCCGGATCATGAGGGTGGTAGCCAAGGACACTCCGACTGCGCCACGGCAAGGATAGGGATCCGGCCAGAAAAATCTTTTTTAAGTTTTTGGCTAGTTGTTTATGTTTGTCTGATCTATTCAGTAGTATTTCTCGACTTTAAAAACCTTTAACTTATCTAATTTCACTCTTTTAAGTTAAAGCTAACTTTATGAATGTAAAATTTGTGATCTTAATAATCAGAAGATTTCAAAATCACTCCAGAAACATAAGTTTATCCAGCTTAAGATTGAAAACTTACCGTAAATACTGTAATAGTACCCTACCGTCACAATGACGGTGCGGAGTGTTTCCTAGTCTAGCTTTGAACGAGTTTTTCTCGACACTGGTTTATGCTACAATGCTCGCATAGGTATCAAAAAATAGCCCTGAATTTCAGCTATTTTTTGATACCAAAGACGCATTTTTTGAAAGTACGAGCACGAAAAAATGAAATACTAAAAAACTTTTGCGACTACGCGACTGTACGAGGGGGTGGGGTACTATTACAGTATTTACGGTACCCATCTTTAGAGTGGTACTGTGTACTTCTAGTAAAACTATCAAAAGGTAAATTAAAAACAAAAAAAATTAGAAACAAAAAGCACAAGCGAGCCTCTCAAAGACGTAAATAAACAAAAAAAAGGAAAAGCCGATAGGATTGAAACGAGTTGATCGCTCGTGGTAGGATACCCATCCAATCCCCCTTTCCCTTTATACCCTTTCTCATTCCCCTTGTCTGTCAAATATCGATCACTTCACGGACCATTTGGTCAACGCGTCCTTCTCTCTTTTCTCTTCACACACAAAAAAAGCCAATCATAAGGAAAAAGCGAGCTCTTTGAATATAGAATCTTTCTTTCTTTTATCTAAAAATCATTCTGTTCTTATCTTTGAATAATTCTTTCGCTAATTTTTTATGTTTTATTAGAATTTTGACTGAAAGACTTCTAAATTTGTGTCTTTTTGAATAGCTTTCTACTAAATCTTTCTTACCAATGCTTTTCTAATTGATTTTTACAGTTTCAGGCTGATCGATCTGTACTCAATCTGTAATCGTTCTGTAATCGTACTGTAATCGATCATTCTGTTCAATAACATTTCCATAATTCATTTCTTTATCCTTTTCACAATCAATCAATCAATCGATTGTAAATATTTATGTGATAAAGTAAAGTTCACGATTGTCACAAGCACTTTGAAACAATATCTTTTCTTTATCTTTATCACACTTACTTCTTCTATTTCACTGTAAAGTCTTGCAAAAAGTCTTGCAAAAAGGCAGCATCACTTTCTAAACACTTTTCAAGAAAAAATGTTGAGAACACAAGGCTTTCATTTCTCAATCCGATAAATTCAAAAAATTTCTTGATCTAGTTTGTTCTTGATCTTGATTTTGATCTTGATTTGTTCTTGATCAACTTAAGCTCAAATGATTTTTGCTGTTGGGGAAAGTTTTTGGTTGATTCTCTTGTCATTGAGCTTTTTGACAACTCCTGGGCTATATTTCTCAAATACAAATGCATCTATCACAATTGATTTGAGGTTGGGAAATTTTTTGGTCGATTCTCTTGTCATTGAGCTTTTTGACATCTCCTGGGCTATATTTCTCAAATACAAATGCATCTATCACAATTGATTTGAGGTTGGGAAAGTTTTTAAATTCTCTTAAGCCTCTAGGAACAGCTGCCATTTTTTGTGGTCATCTTTTTCGTTGTAAGGGAAGCTGGGTGAGTAGTTATCATTTTGTTTAGTGC